TTATACCAAAATGAAGCTCTGCATCTTAGATGTACTCTCCACATGCTAGCTCCTTCAAAAGAGGTAAAGGTTAGCATCCCAAAACCAAAAGAGCAACTCAGAGAAGTGCTCAGCACCAGTGCTGGTGTGGCAGCAGCCCCTGATGCTCATGTAAAACCCGTGACATAACAGATCCTGCTGGTTCCATTGGCATTTCTGCCTTCTAATCCTCCTGCCAGTAGCTTCTGGGATCTCCTCTGTGAAGCTGGAAGTGCAGGTGATTCTCAGAGCCTACAAAATAAGGTCAGCTGAAATTGCGATGTTCAGTGTCTACAGTCATTGAGAATACTCAGTTCATACAGCTCTGAGGGCACTGTTCAGTTTAGGTTCTGTAATTTAGGTTCTGTAACACTGAAAATAATGTTTTTTCCTTTGTGCTGAATTTACTTTGAAAGAGGCTTTAGAAATAAAAATCTCACCCGAACAAGTAATGCTAAATAAATCATAGTTACATATGCAAATAAACTGATTGCACTTGGCTGCACAACTGATTGACAAATTACACTGAAAATGTCTTTTTAAACTTGCAGCTACAAGTCTGCCTCCAGGCTAGTCTTTTCACTTAAGCACAAAGACATTACTTTGCTACTACCTGCCATCCATTTGGAAACTAAAATCACGTAAATTACAATTACATGCTCACTTAGATGTGCAATTGCTCATTTTTACACATGCAATATGGATATTGTCTTTCATAAATGTTTTATGTTTTCTTGAACTGTATCTACTAGAGCCAGTAAGTGCGACTGTGTGATCTGCAGACTTCACGAGCACAAATGTTAAAAAAATAAATAATAATCTATTAGTTCACCAAGTTGAAGCTCTATTTTTCTTTATGTGAATTTTGCTCACACCAATGCAAGCTTTATTTTTTCTACTTTGCTATATATAATTAATTTCTCACGAATAAATCTGTCATTGTTTCTTCAAATTAATCACTGTGTATATCGGATATTTGAGAGCACAGTGGCTAATCAACATGTAATGTAAGAACATAACATCACAGGAAGTAGGAATTTCTACTAGGGTGGAACCAGCACCAGGAAAACTGGGAGGGACTGGACAAAGTGGAAAAAGAAAACATTCACTTATGTTTTCAGTTGCCACAGTCAGGAGCAGGATGCTCTCTAAGCACAGGCAAAGTATGACAGCGGGTTGCTGGGCTCTACAAAATGGCTGTGGTCCAGTGCTCCCTCTCTGCCTATGGCAGAAAGCAGGAAAGCTGGTCACGCTGCTACTGCTGGTACTGCCAAGTCACGGGTGGCAACGTGTGAGGTGATAACTGTTCCTGCTGGGATGGTCAGTGCCTCAAAACAGCCATTACCAGCCCTAATATTCCCATCTTCCCAGCAGGACCAGGAGCAACAAGCTTTCAAAATAGCTGGCGCACACAACTTCTTTCCACTTCATGCCCTATTTCTGCTCCTGCCAGTTCTCCTTCCATTATACACTCACAGCAGCAGCACAGCCTACAGCCCTGTGAAATATACATGTAAGGTCTTTACTGTTTAATTTGTCCTTAGTGTATTTAACCCTGCAAAAATACTAGAAGGCTATATGAGACTACATCACTGTCTGTGTATCATTTTGATACATCAACCACAGGAAAAATTGTGCTGATTGTGTGGAAATCTGTTTTGCAGTGCTTGACACACTTCTTACAAAAGCACAACAGCCCTATGAGAAACTGTACCTTCATCTTTGTTGCCTCATTGATTTTTCTGTCAGGAGCTGTTCTGGAGTAGCAGGAGATATTTAATATTTATTTGTACATACATATTAGTAATTAGTGCTGATTTAGGTAAGGGAGATGGTTGACATGAGTAAAGAAGTAATTGTTTTACATGATAATCTTGGAAGAATAGATGACATGAGTCAGAAGAAACATGTCTGAGTATAATACACTTGGAAGAAATGACTTCAAGTCATATCAAAATGGCAGCAAGTGGGTTAGCATCAGTGTAAGAATGAGATGGTGCACTGTGCACCAGGAAATGAGCTGGAAGATGGTGTGTTATGAGACAAGGCTCCAAGAACACAACATCTTTATCTATCAGCCTCTACTTCAGGGACAGTATCCAATTCCACATACCTGATTTCAGAAAAACAAAATTCAGGGGTTGCAGCAAAGAAAAAACAAGATGCTTGGTGAAACAAACAAACACGTCTTTATATATAAAAACTAAGATTTTAAGTATTAACAATAGATATTAGTAATTGAATGACTAATTTAATTTATTGAAATGCCTATATATACCTATATATACCTGCTATATATGTAATGAAGTTGTATACTCAGTGTTACCTATTCTGAATCTCTGGAGTCAGTAAATGTTATGTTATATATATATATATATATATATATATACATACAACATAATATATATAAATACATACATATAAATATATATAATATAAATACATAATATAAATATTTATTATATATATATATATATATAATATGTGTATATATATGCATAAAAAAAAAAAAAGGATTTTAAATTAAGATCGTGTACTTAAGTAACAAATAAGGTGACTACCTGGAATGGAGGAAATTAACAACAGTGAATTTTAGTCTGCCTCCGTGGTAGTTAGGCCTTATCCACTGTTGCCGTTGATCACATGCTGCAACAAAAATAGATTTAAATTTCAAAACCCTGCAGGACACCGTCACTTGTGTGCCTGAGAAGCTGGTGGCAGCTCCCTGGTGCCCTGTACCTGTGTGAGGGGCCGGTGCCTTTGGGCAGGTTGGCACGGGCAGTTTCCAGGCTCACAAAACACCTGCCTGCTTTCTCCAGCCTCTGGATTTTGCTTTTCTGTCTGGATGGCTGTAGTTAGGGAGGATGAGTCACTCATTTTCTCCTTATTTCTACTGTTAACCTGTAATACCTGAGGAATGAGAACTTCATTTTGTAGGGGGGATGAGTGACTCGAGGAGCAAACAGACTGCGTTTCTGAATGAGTGGGAGACCCCATTAGCTGCCAGCACACCGAGGCAGCACCATATGAAGAAACCCTTTCTGTTCAGCCACATCCAGACTCCAACTGACCCCAAACCTTGCTTTTTATTGTCACCACGGCAACCTGGCCAGAAGCCGGGGGGGTGTACACACGCCCCACTCCCTCCCACCCGGGGCCGGAGTTCTGCCCCCCGACCGGCCTCGGGCCACCGTTCAACGGCTGGCGGCGACCCCACAGCTGGCTGTGGGAGCACCGTGGGGCCGGGGGCGCTGCCTGAGGCGAGGGGCGAGGGGAACTGCTCCGGGGGGCGGCCACAGCCCGGCTGGGCATCCCCAGGGGGCCCACGGCCCGAAGGGGAGCCGGGGAGGGGGATGGCGGCTGGGCTGGGGCAGGCTGAGGTGGTGCTGGGGACAGCGTGGGTCCTGGGGGGCTGTGGGGTCAGGCTGAAACAGGGAGCCCCTCGAGGCAAGGTGGGGTGGTCTCTGTTCTGTACTTGTGTGCCCACCTCGGGGCTTGGGGATTTTTTTATAAGATTTTTATTAGTGCTCTTTTAGGGAAGCATTGAGCCATCCTGGCCCTGTGGGGGACATGTTTGTGAGCTGGTTGCTGAGAATGCCCAGCTTCTTCAGATGCTCAAAAAGTAATCATACAGAAATCCTCCTAGACCTTAGTGCTTCTGCAGAGGGCTTCCTTCATGATGGGCCTTCATCTCTGGAGATGAAAAAAAGGAAATAACTTGGGAGAAGCGATGTGGGCTTCTCTTGGCAAGGGGAAGGCCTGGGGCTGCAGCAGGTGCCCCAGTGGCAATAGCCTCTCCTGAAGGCAGTTTGTTTCTCAGCTATTAGAGCTGATTTCTCACCACTTTTCTTGATTTTACTAGGACGTTATATTGCTAGGATAATTACTAGGATATTGTATAAATCCAGATCACGCTAGATTATTTGTTGAGAGCTCATCTAGCCTCCTCCTACTGAAAGGTCTTAAAAAGGAGGATGTGGAACTATTTCAATACCTTAATGGATTTCACCCTTTCCCAAACATACTTCTCATATATATTTTTTCTTCTTCTGCCTGTTTTGGGAGTATGTGGCTTCCTAGACATTGTCCCCTCCGAAATCTGGGAGCGGAGATGAGGGGGAGAAGGAGAATTGTGTTGTTTTGTCATCACTACAAGTCATCTTGTTTCCATCTACAGGAGAAAGCTGAAAAAAATGCAGGTCTCCTTCACTGGAGAAGCTACCCAGTCTCTTACACATTTTTTGCTGTTCTGAAAAAGTGTGTGCATGTCATTTACAACCAGGATATGGAGGAAAGCTTGTATTTTTTTCATCTTCTGATGCAGCAAACATTACTGTATTGCTTTATGTGGAAATGTAGTCTCTAGGATAAATGTAGTTTAAATAAGCATTCCTAATCTGGATAAAATGAAATTTATCTTCCAGGTCAGTAGTCTCAGTTCATTCACCTGCAAGAATTTTCCTTGTTGCTTTGACTACAGCTTTCAAGCCCTTCTTTTTAAGTTGAGAAGGTAGGGAAAACAGGGAATCAGATCTGTGTTTTTTTTTTCTTTTTTTTTTTCCTCTCGTTTCAGTTTAATTGTTTTAATTCAGACGGTAACTGACAGTTGGTTTGCTAGATCTGGATGCATTCAAATTGTGTATGTTGGAAAACTTACTTGAAAATAATAAAAGATCAATGTTCAAAAGATTGTAATGTACTAAATGAACAGATTATTTTTTTTTTATAGTGCAGAGACCATATGAAATGAGAGGGAATACTGACTGATTCATATTTTAAATAACCTAACTTTTACTTTCTGTTCCATATCAGAATCGGATAATATCTCTATAGTTTCCCTTCTTGAACTTTATCGTTTCCTTTGAATCTTTTTTTCTTGTTGTTGTTGTTTTTGCAATTCTTTGTGTTATAAAGTCTTTTTGGAAAAAAATGTATTTCAGTACTGTTATTAGTATATGTGCTATTATGTATATGTTCTGGTTGTTGTTTTAGTGGCAAGGAGAAGGACTAAACACTATTTAAGAGTAGCCATTTATTTACAATGGCAAACCTCGGCGGCTTTTGGTGTTTCTATAGCAGCTAAATTGAGTAGGAAGATGCAAATCTGTATTAATTTAACTAAACCAGACAGTAAAAAACAATTATGGAAGTACACATATGTACATATAAGGAACATACAGCCAGCAGACTGTAAAGGGTAGACCAATGTTAATTAATTCACCCCCACTTTGATTAAGTTAACTGTTAGAAAATGCCTGTGTTTCCATTGTGTATCCCCATCTTCTGACATACCTACAAAAAGTCTTATTGAGAAGCAGCTATGGCAGCTCAGTTGGAGGGAAAAATGAGGGAAATGTCTGATTATGTCTTTGCAAATTTTATCCAGTGCATTTTGTTATCTAAGAAAGGTTCTGTTAGGGCTTGCTTCTCTTTCCTGCCTGATTACTTAATAAATAGTATATGCTCTTGTCTCACGTAACTAACAAATGGTAGACTGCTCTTCTCTCTAAACATCCATATGTGAAGCTGAATACTTTGTGTTGATTTCTGCTGCTTTTTTAAAGTGCGGCGCTTCAAAATGCTAAAGGGAGCTAAAAAGTTTGTTGGTAAATCCCTTCAGCCAGCACGACCTGTGCGTCATTTGCCTTCAAAACAAGGTGAGTAACTCACAAAGCCAAAACTCTTATTTAAAGAAATAAGAATGGTGTGTAAGGTTTCTTGTCTTTTTCTATTATTATATTTATTTATTTATTTTACTGCTTTGTTCACAATACAGTGGTGCATAACTGTTGTGCTCTGTGTTGGTCTCACTACATCACCTCTGTGATAAAATCTGATTTTAAAGTACATCAGGTTTATGCAGAACTCTTCCTGGTGTTACTTTTATAGTTTGGCATCTGAATTTCTAGCATACTTCAGGAAGCTCAATCAGTCTTACCTATTAGATTTAGATTTCTTGGGTTAGTTGACTCCTGTTGAAAACATTAAATATGCATAAGTTAACAAATGGATTGTTTAATTCTATTGCAAATACAAAGTACTGCACCATACCATTGTTATCAGGCCTTCATAAAAGTTTTTTTTTCTATGTCTGACAAAGACCACACAGTATTTATATAAGATGTATGTGTTATATATTTTTTTTTAATTTTCTGTTTATGCCTCTTTGATATTACATATTACAGCTGTTATTAAGTTAGAAATCTTTGGTAGCTAGAGAAACAATGCCAGCATTGCTGATGTGGACAGAAGCTAAGTGGCATCATAAACTTTTACTTCAAATTTGTGGAAGAAATAGAAAGTTCTATGATGACATTCATGGAACTTTTAACATGTGAATAGATGCCTGTAAAATCTCCTTGCAGTTGGATTTCATCCTGCTTGCAGGTATCATAGAGTAGAGTCTAGTTACAATATTTTTATCTTAATGTTTTCTTTTATCTTCACCAGCATCAACAATTACTTTCGAGTTTCAGACTGAGTTACCTAGCAACAGTCAAGTATGTTTGCAGAGTAAGGTTGACTGGGTGAGTACTGAGTAAATACTAAATGATGAAGTTGATGAAAGAGTGTGTTCTGGAGTGCCATAAATTGGAGGTCAGCTAATCCTTTATGTTAGCAAATTAAAGGTAGGGGGTATTTCCCCAACTAGCAATGTCCTTGAATCTGTATGTTATAAAACTGAAGCATTAGAAGTGTTTAACAAGAACTGAGACTTTGAAGAGTTCCTCAGTATTTGTGTAGTACCTAAAAAATACATCTTATGAATTACTTATTTTTGAAAGTCTGTGTGGCTTTTGTTTCATCTTCACTGAATTTAAGAGAGAGCTCTTTTAAAGTACACAGAGTCAGTCTTTCTTCAGTCTGTGTAAAGAATAATACCAGAAATATATATACATATGAGTTAGCACAGGCAGAAATTAATTTGAGGCAGCAAACTCAGAAAACTAGGTATTTAAATTGTGTGTGTGTTCTGAGTTCAGTTTCATTGGCTGTGCCGGACTGGGCTACAAATGGGGCTTAGCATTCAAAAAATGAAAGAGCTCTAGTGCTTTACTGCCCCCAAATAATTGGTTTTAGTACAAAATGTCTTTCATACATGAAATTGGTTGTAGCTGTTTGCTGCAAACTGAAGTTTGTAGTATTACAACTGCAGTGCTTAATGTTCTGTAGTCTGAAGTTGATTTTCTGTTGATAACTGCTTTGAATGTCTCTCAGAGCATACTAGAAGTGTTGAATTATTTTGTTTTATTTATTTTATTTATTTTATTTATTTTTTGTAGGGCCTGTTCCTTCATCTTTTGTTTGAGTAACAGATTAATTATCCAATTGTCCTTTTATGTATTGTGTGAAGCTTCTGGAAGATGCCTTTGGCTTTCTTTTTTCTTTCCTTTTTTTGGGTGTGTGTGTGTTAAACTCAAGGTGTTGGCAGACAATTTTACAAACTCTAGAATTACTACAGCTACATATTTATCTTTGATCACAGGGAGGGAAATGAACTGTTACACTTGTCTCTTGAGCAATGTGGCTGTAGGAGAACAAACACTTAGAATGTCCTGGGGGCAGCAATGCTGTAGAACTGAATTTCAGTTTTATCAGTGTTTGGCTACACGTAGCTACACACTGCGTTTCTTTGATGATGGTAGAGGTTTTTTTGTTCTTTAATTTCAACTTTTTTCTCCGGCATAAGATTCTGAGAAGGCTTTTAAATAATGCTCACTGTCAGCGGTTTTGTAGGTACTTCCAAATACCAGCTGATTAGTAAGTACCCAGTGAACTTGTTGATTTTAGTTGACAGGCAGCATTAGACTAGAGGCTGGCATAGAAGCTTCACAGAATGATTTTCTTAGAAAGGACTATGCAATAGCCAGTTCTGAAGATACCAAGACCTGAATCATGATGGCATGCAAATTGGTGTCTTGCCAAATGTTCTCCTGTGTTTTAAAAAACATCAGTGACCATCTGAGAAGGCTGTGTGCTGTTACGCATTTGCTTTTGTCTGCTGATATGGTTCCCATTCCTAGAGCAAGATACATATTTCACTTCAAGAACCTGTTCTTCAAAATTATAATTCTATTAAAGGTGGTTTAAATCTTACTGCCTTTTTGGCAGGATAGTAATAGTGCTCTGTCTGTGCAATCATAAATCTTTAATTTTCCTTATCCCTTTTCACCCTTCCCCCAGTGCATTTCCTTTTACACAAGATAAAGGAGCACACCGCAAGGTACCAAACAGGAATATGTTGACATAACGCTTCATATTACTAAATGGTCTTAAGTAGTACTGACCTGTTAAATATCAGAGAATAAATATTCAAGTTGGCATAGATTAGGATACAGGAAAATTAGTTTAGCTTTGGAAGGCTTGGTGAAAGATGAAGTAAAAAATAAAGCAAATTGTATTTGCCACTAACATTGATAGGTTTTAGAAAAATAAGCTGTAGAAATAAAAATAAGCCAGCTCTGACAAATGAGGTACCTAAAGCAGTGAAGGAACTAGGAAGAATATGGCAACAAGCTGCTTTACTCAGGGGTATTTAATGTGGACACTTAAAGCTGTTTAGATACCTACCAGGAAAAAAAAAAACAAAAAACAACCCACAACACATCATTGCACATCAGGAGGTATAACATTAAGTCTGAGTAATCTAAAGAACAGTGAATTACAGTCTTAAAGCTGCCATCCAAGGAACTTATTATTGTCTAAGTTCTAGAAGTGTAGAGAATATCTACTGTTAATAATGAGTACAGTGACAGTGCTTGTGTAGAAGGTATTAGCCTTGATTCTAGGCAATTTCCAGTCAGTTTTCTAGTACAGGAGGCATGTTAGTAATAAGACTGCAGCGATTTTTCTGTTTCATGTGGATGAATGGAATCAAACTGTTCTGTAGTCAGTTTTTGAGTAGTCAGAACAGGTAACTGTGAATGAAACAATTTAAATTTGTTAGATTTAACAACAAAATTAGTTGAGAGATGTAGCCTATGGAAAATTTCCAGGTATTCATGTGCCACAATGCAAGTAATATAGAAGTTTGGGCCTTCTCTACAGGTGCTGCTTGCAACAAATTCTAGCTGTGAAACTACCATTTGCTTTTGTACAGTTTTACCACACAAACTGATACTCAGTGGGTGGAAGTGTCTGAGCATCTGGATGGGGCTTCTCCTGGGTCTTGTACAGTGAATAAAGCAAAGAATTATTTTTATTCCTTTATGGCATGCAAAGAATTTTCAAAGAAAAGATCTGGAGAGTGTTGAGTCGGCTACCTCATATCTTTTGGAGGTAGAGAGAAAGGCTTGAAAAGCCTCCGACAGTCAATATCAGTTCTAACTTGCTACTCCTTAAATACCATTTTAAAATGATGCTGAGCTTCAGAAAGACATGCACTGCTCAAGGGGTATTCCTTATAGATAAATTCCATTCTTGTAGATTTATTTTGGATGAGAACGTGTTTGGGAGCGTTCTTGTGAGTGATACTCAAATATTTAAGTTTTGGGTTGAAAACCAAAAACAGTATAAATCTTGATATTATAAAGCAGTTGGCAGAGTTGGGAGTGTGGTGCAGGAAGAAATACAAATCTGTTGTGGTGACGTCTCACACATTGCTGTTAATTATGCATGCCTTTTTCTTGTATTAACGCATTCTTTGAGAATGTATTAATACTCTTTCCTTTATTGTACTTGGGAAGGTTTCCCTTTTTAATATCTAAGACTCACCAAGACTGGTTGAACATTACAAAGCAGTTAGAATTAGCAGTATGTGTCTCTATTAACTGGATCATCTGAAATTCCTAAATGTTTCAGATATGTTGTTTTTTTTTTCTTCCCCAGAAGTTTTAGACAAATCAGGAAAAGATAACTGTCAACCACAGAAGTGGAAGTATGAGCAGAGTGGTGATAAGCTGATATTCTAGAAATATTTTACCATTTCACAGTTCCTACTCTCTGACTGTACTGTGGTCAGCTCACCATGAAAGCTAGGTAGTGCAGTTAAGATACAAATGTTGACTGCTATCTCTGCCCAGAAAATTAGCTTTGCTTTTGACAAATGTAGGTGTTGGAGAGAAAGTGAAACAATGCCTGTCCTTATTTGTGTGTAACCAATAGTAACAAATGTCCTACAGGTTCACAGGAAACCTCTCAGACATTTTGCATTAACTCTATTCCTATTTACAGTTCTTTTCTGCATATGGACGAGACCATCACCTTTCATCCATCACCTGTTATTAATAACTACAGTTCTGATTGTGGTTTAATTTGTGCAAACCTGTTTCCATAAAGAGGATAGTTATGAAATTATGAAAAGTAAAACAAAAACAACAAAAACCCAACCCTGAATCCTCTTTTTTTTTTTTTTTTTTTTTCATGTTCACAGAAAGTGTAAAAGGTCTAAGATCTTGGCAGCTGGTAAAAGAAAAAAATTAGAATGCTAAAACTCTGCTATAACTTCTTTCAACTAAGAAACCCAGAAACATATATCCTCATTTTAATAACTTCAACAAGTTTCATAACATGTTGGTCAAATATATTAAAAAAAAAAAAGTTTACATAACTTTTTCTTTCCTGTTTTAGTTACCTGAAATGACTGAAATGCAGATCTTAACTCAAAACACGATGCCTTGTCAACCAAACCAGCATGAATTAGAGACAAAAAAAGGTAAAATATTGCAAGCAGGTCATTGTCAGATTTGTATTTTCTGGGTGGAAGACAAAGGAAATTTGCTGCATATTATTTTTTTCTGATTTGAGAGTTTGTCTTCCTTCTATACAATATGCGAATGTTATGAAACTTGACTGTTTTTCATGCGACATTCCAAAGTGTAAAACTTGGCCATAACTGAGGTGGGAAACCTCCATTGGTAGACTTGGCTTGTATATAAAGATGTGTCTGGGCAATGTTTTGGGAGTTCCTGTCTTGTAAAAATTGAGCATAAACATTTTTTCACGCAAGTCCTGGTTTTGTATAAGGTGCTTCTGTGTGTGGAAGTACAGGCCTGATTTGCATCCTCTGATCTGTTGCAGAGGGTCAGTCCTCTGCTGTCCTCAACAATCTTTAAGATTATGGCATGCAAGTCATTTAAGAATTTAAGACTTTGGCTTCTTCCTGCTCTTACTACAGTGCTTCTGAAGTACTAATATTCTGATGGCTAGAAATCACTTACTTTCTTCCATGATTTAGTCCCATCAAGTTTATTCTTTTGTCAACACTGTCCTTAAGGTTTGTTCCTCTTTTTTTCAGTGCGACTCTTTTCTTTCTGTACTGCTTGTCACTCAGTAGTCATAAAACATACTTTTTTTTTTTTTTCTTGGTCACGGTTTGGTAGGATAAAGCCAAATGTTTACTTTTTGTTCATTAAGGTATGTTCTCAGATTCCAAAATTATTCTCACAGCTGTCATCTGCACCATTTTGCTGTTTAATTCTTCATTCTTAAACATAACTACAGGAACTGAGATAGTGATCCATATTAGGTCATCCATTCACTGAGATAATTTTTTCTCTGAATGTATGCACATAAACAGGCATCTAAATTCTTCACTTGTAATCTACAGTCCTTCAGCCTGGAGACATCACTTGTTCTGTTCTTAATACTCAAGAATTGAAAGAATTATGTTAAATTCTACTGAGTCTTTCCTGTTTTTCCTCAGTCTGAGTTTATTGTCACCCAGGTTCTTGAACCGTAATTCTCCGCTGATGTGTGTTACTGACTTTAAGGTAAGGTTATTAATTTCGATCCTGGTAAATAAAATTACCTGCTCTTTAGATCTAACTTGAATCATAGAATCATAAAATGATAGGTTATCCCAAGTTGGAAGCAGTCCATCAGGATCATCAAGTCCAACTCCTAGCTCCACACAGCACCACCCAAAAATCAGACCATGTGTCTGAGAGTGCTGTCCAAATGTTTCTTGAGCTCAGAGCTGTGACCACGTCCCTGGGGAGCCTGTCCCAGTGCCCGACCACCCTCTGGGTGCAGAACCTTTCCCTAACCCCCAGCCTGACCCTCCCCTGTCCCAGCTCCATGCCGTTCCCTCGGGTCCTGTCGCTGTCCCCAGAGAGCAGAGCTCAGCGCCTGCCCCTCCGCTCCCCTCGTGAGGGAGCTGCAGGCCGCCATGAGGCCTCCCCTCAGCCTGCTCTGCTCTGGGCTGAGCAAACCAAGGGACCTCAGCTACTCCTTGCAAATCTTCCCCTCCTGACCTTTCACCATATTTGTAGTCCTCCTTTGGATGCTCTTTAATAGCTTTATGTTCTTCTTATAATGTGGTACCCAAGACTGTACAGTTCTGTGCTGGATTTGGCGATTTCTGTCTGATGGTGCGGGCTTTCTGATCTCATTGATTTTGCTTGTGTGTAGAGACTATTCTGTTTTACAAGATCTTAATTTGTTTCTCATCAGATCCTGGTCTTTATAAGCCATCACTTTTTCAACCTTTTGTTAAATGTTGTTATCCATTCCTTCAGAGTAACACAATTTTAGAGGTCCACTTTTTCAGCTACTGCCTATAAATGTCTCCTTATTTCTTTTTTCTTTTTTTTTTCCCTCTCCTGCATCACAGTGTGTAATTTCCACTGCAACTCATTTTTTATGGAGTTTTACATTTTTAGCTGTACCTATAGCTGTCACCTAGGATAAGAAGTAAAGTTTGTCCCTTCCTTGCCTCATTCCTTTCTCCTTCCTTCTGCTCTTTTTAAAGAATATCTGTTTAACGTATGAACCATGGGTAGATATATCTGAGGCTGTGCTAGAGATAGTGGTACAAACTTGAGTTCTAACATGCTCATTCTAAGCAAATCCCTTAACTGCTGTTGAGTCTGTAAAACTCTCAGAACTATTTCACTGGTACAGATTTGTTTGCCAGTTTATGTATGGCAGAATTCATATTTTTTTTAATTGTTGAAAGACAACCAAGTAAAAGCTCCAAGAAGAGAGTGACTTGGGTCTTGTTACCTGTCTCACAGAAATGTGGCACTTTGGCGTAGGTTACAAAGAGACATACAAAGAGATTGTCTTCTAGGGCTTAAAAAACAACTTGCGGTTATAATTAGAACAAGCTATAGGGAGTCTGTCTGTTGCATAAAATTGGATTCACTTTTTTGTGTTCCTTTGTATTAAAGCAACAAACCTTTATTAGCTTGGAATAGTCCTCCTGATTAACTAAGTCAGTTTAATAGAAGTAAGAGCGAGATGCTCCGTAATTTACTACAAACGTCCAATGTCAGACTTAAATTAGTATTGCTTTTAATACTGATTTTTACATACATACATACAGCATTTCCATCCTTTTAATGAGAAGCCAGATCAGTTCTCTGAATTCCAAACTTGAGTGGATTAAATGTTAACATTGAACTTAATTGTGTGTATTCACAGAAAGGATCAAATACAGCAGAGATTTCCTTCTGGAGTTGTCAAGTGTTTCACTCTCTCAGAAGAAGCCAGAGTTTCTGCCTGATCATCCAATTGTACTTGAAAAACCGGTAAGTGTGTTTTTCCTGTTAAGTTACAAAAAAACAGTCATGGAGGTTTTCACTAGCCATTTCTTATCTTGTTAAGTCTTACTGTTTGCAAGGTCTGCTTTTAAACTTTTTACTCAGCTTTGTGTTGTATGTGCGTAAGCCCCACCTGCATATGCCAGTTTATCATACAGATGAAAATAACTGAGTTCTCTGATTCTACTCAGCTGGAAATGGGCATGTAAATTATGAACCATTATTAGCCAGGATTTTGTTATGTAACAGCATGAAGTGTATCACTTAGCTATCGTTCCTGGTGTCTTCAGCACAAACTATGGGTAGATGAACAGGACACCAAAGTGACGTGGTAGTAAGCATTTATGACCTTCTGTAAAAATGTTTTTTATTATCCTGTTTTTTATTATTTTGATGTGCTGTTTTAATAGAAAACTCTTTTCAACTTGTAGCTATGCAGAAATATTAATACTGTCTTTCTTTAGTTGGTCCTTTTATTCTCTGTCTTCTGAAACAGACAAGTCATTTCTTCAGATCATGATTTCTGGTGGTCTCCATGTACAACTATGTTAAGACTTTTAGGTGTCAAGTCAGTTGCTATTGCAGCTATGTTTTGTCTTTTTTTGCCTCCTTTTGCCTGACATAAGCACATACCAGTAATTGTTCTCCTTGTAAAGTATTTTATTTTTTGTGGGTGTTGTTGTTGTACAGTTTTCCTAGGTACATTGTATACAGTGTCGCTAGTCTGGGTCAGGAATTTTCTTTTTCCCCTTCAATTTCATTTAAGGAAGTGGTCTTGGCATTAAATAAATCTTGTGAGAATTCCTGTTGTCATATACTGAAATAAAAATTTTGTGGTATGCATGTGCCCTGCCCAACTAGTCACTTTCTATTAAAAAATTTTAAGTACTTGGGGATGTGAAGTTGTTCTATATGGGAATCCAGGTATAAGAACCTGAATAGAACAGCAGCTGAATCCTATCCAAGGAATGCCTTTACTCTGCCTATTGTGAGTTAAACATCAGTTGGCAGCAAAACATCACAGCTGCTTGCTCACTGCTCCCCAGTGAAATGGGAAGGGCAAAAGAATTGGAAGGGAAAAAGTGAGAAAATTCGTGCGTTGAGATAAAGGCAGTTTGCTATGTAAAGCCAAAGCTGTGAGCACAAACAAAACAAAATATTTATTCACTACTTCCCATCAGTAGGCAGATGTTTAGCTATTTCTAGAAAGGGCTTCTTCATGCATAATGGCTATTTAGGAAGACAGATGCCATCGCTCTGAATGTGTCTGTTCATGTACCTGTCCCCCACCTCCCACCAGCTTTGCTGAATGTGACATCATGTGGTAGGGAATATCCCCTGGACCAGGTTGGGGCTGTTATCCAGGATGAGGCAGGCCTCTGCCAACTTCTTGTGCACCCTCAGCATACTTGTGGGGTGGCAGGTTGAGAAACAGAGGGCTGTGATGGTGTGTAAGCATTGCTCAGCAATAGCTTTAACAACCACAAATCCAAACCAGCACTGTACCAGCTACTGTGAAGAAAATTGACTCTCTCCCAGCCAAAAGCAGTACATCTGTCAACTAATAGATCCTACTTTCAGGTCTCAGAGGTTACTGTGAAAAGGTGCATGTTTAACATTAAAAATAAGGAGTAATAAAGTACATTTCAAAATCAGAAGAAAAAAATAAGCATTTTATGTGACAGGCAAAGACCTGCATTATTTCCTCTTCTGCGTTGACTGCTTCTATTGGAAAACAGTGATAAGACTTAATGAAATATAAAATTGATTTTTCAGCATGGAAATAGAAGAGACTTTGGTCTGATCAGAGTGTGGGAATCATTGGTGTGTAGGTCCCCTTACAATAGTGACACTGAGTAAGCAATTTTTCTATCCAAGTAGGGGATTTATCTCAAATAAGAATGCTCAGAGCCCAATATCCCATAAACGGATTGAGCCTGTTAAAGATTTTTTTTAGTGCTTCTTAAAATGTATGAATGGGAGAAAAGCATTTCATACTTCTCGACCATGTAATCTGAGAAAGTACCTGGAACTGAAGAAGTAAAGATAAATTCAAAACTATTTTAGCCAGTAAAGTGAAGGAATTTAGTCAGTGATTTCAAGCTCCTTCTCATGCAAAGGATGTGAAAGCTGTGTCTCACTTTAGATCTTACAGAATGTCTAAGTCTAAATATATGTGTTTTTAAGTTCCCATTAGCTTAAAAAAAATAATTCTTACTCAGTAGCATTTGTGATTTCTATAAGAATGGGAGAGACACAGACTGATTTTAAGGAGCGCACTGCAAGACAGTTTACTTAAACTGAACAGTAAATGGTGTTCAATTATTTCATTATCCATCCTCAGCCCTCTTCACTTGAGTTTCCTTCATGCAGCAGACCCTGTAATTACATGCAAAAATTCCCTAGTGTTAAATGATCCCACAGCACTCATTTTTCTATGTAGAAATCAGAGGGATTGATGAGATGCATGTATAAATTAAATAAATGATGTTTAAAAGGGTCAGAAGGAGCCCTCCAAATACCTGATGAGAAACATGCAATACTGCAGCACATCAGTAGCTTGTATTTCAGGAGCAGGTGGCTATCAAGAGTTTGCTGCTGAGTTGAATAGTTAAATAGCTTTTACCCATCTTAAAACTTTTGGTCATGACTGAAGTATATGCCCATATATAAGTGAAAGCCATAATTTCCGATGGAGGAAGCTTCCTAGAATGACTTTTACAAGGGAGATGTGTTGTTACAGTTAGTTACCTGCGGGTTACATTTGTCCCTAAAGGCGCTGTCTTTTTTTGAGAGATAGGATCAGCCCTACATGTACATAGCTCAGCATCTGCGTTGTACTGACATAACCGTGTTGACAAATTATGCCAGGAAGATTTCAGATCAAGTCTCCACTGCTAATGGAAGTAGAACAGTTTGAATGCCCCACCCCTGGAAGTGTTCATGGCCAGGCTGGATGGGGCCTTGGGCAACCTCAAGTGGAAGGTGTTCCTGCCCATGGCAGGGGAGTTGGAATTAGGTGGTCTTTAAGATCATTTCCAATCTAAGCCATTCTATGAATTAATCTGAAAAATATCAAGTTGCTAAATGTATATGGAGTAGAAAAGGCTTATTAAAGTAGACTTGTGGAAACTTGGTTGAAATGATCTCTTATTGCTGAACTAACTTGAGGGTTTGTTTGTCTTGCAGGAATACAGCAACCCTTTTGACATATGCAAGAAGTGACAGGTGGTTTGGAAGATGAGAAATCCGTCAGTGAAGGAGCTACATATAATGTAGAAATTCAAGATTCTTAAAGGTGCCTAGAGATGAAAACAGGACCTTACAAAATCTGTGGAAATGCCTGTTTCTATCTGTAATTTCCAGAATGCTCTAAAAGGCAAACTACTTTGTAGTACCTGAGGTGGTCATACAGTTGCAGTGAAAATAAATTATTTTACACTTTGGTGTGACAGATTTTTTTTTCTGCATTTGTGTTATATAGCTATATGGTTTGTCTGACCATAAACTTTAAACCAGTACTTGACTGAGGCTTCTTGCTTGCTCCTGACTTCCTTTCTTACCAGTAATAATGGAACAACAAATACTGCATCAAATCTCAAATGTGTTAGGATATGCAGTCTTCTTTTTTTCTTTTTTTTTTTTTTTTCCTTTTTGTCAGAACTTCACTTGCTTTCTCTCTTCACTTGAAATCTCTCTGTTGACAGAGGAGATTCCTTAATATTCTGTGGATGCACACAGTCTTTCAAGGTATGGAGTACCTTGTTGCTAACAGTTTCCCTAAAATGAGAACTCTTCTTCCCACAGGTCAGAACACAGGAACTAGCTAAGCACTGTGTTTCTTGAAGCTCGTTGTAAATAATTGCCCAGTGTTCTTGACTTTTCAAAGAGGAAGCAATGGGCAGCATTGAGGAACAAGACAGGTTTTCATCACTTGTGTCAGTAAACTGTATACCAGAACATAGCAGATGCTGTAATTTATTTTTGTTCAATTAGAACAGTATTTAAAAGTGAAAGCACTAGTTTATTTCTTTACAGCACCCTTCAGTTAACAAGCATCAATAATTGTTATTTAGTGCAAATGTAGTCATCTTCGAAACCTGCATTCAGACCTGCAGTAACATACTTTGGGTGGTGAAGGCAATTTTTAAACCTCTGTGGCAAATAGAAGCTAAATCAGATTATGTTGAACAGTAACTGCAACAGTGCAGAAAACTTTCAAGTTGACTTTGATAGACCCTTGATTTTTTCCTAGAAGTATGGAATTATGGTAATAAACTAGTCTTTTTTTAAATTTAATATTTATATATAATATTTAGCAGTAATTGTTCAATTAAAATAAGCTTGCAAGTATGTTCTGTTTGTGTACTGTTTGCAAGTGTGCTGGTTTAATACCAGCAGGTAGCTGAGCTCCACCACTCTGCTCTCACTCCACCACTCTGCTCTCACTCCACCTCTGCAAAAGGACAAGGGTAGGAAATAGGATGAAAAAAAGCGCGTGGGTTGAGATAAGGGCAGGGATATGACTCACCAATTATTGTCACAGGCAAAAGAGCAAAGGAAGATTAATGTAATTTACTATGTATTGATAACAGACTAGAACAGTGAGAAGTAAAAGCAAATTCAAAACAACTTCCCCCCATTCACCCCCTTCTACTACCACCCCACAAGTGAGTGGCGCAGGGGAACAGGGGAATAGGGGCTGTGGTCAGTCCCTGACGCTTCATCTCTGCGGCTTTTTCATGGTCCATCTCTACCCCTGCTCCACGTGGGGTCCCTCCCACGGGATGCCGTCCTTCCCAAACTGAGCCTGCAGGGGCTGCCCACAGGCAGCAGCTCTTCAAGCACTGCTCCCACACGGCTCCGTCCCACAGGGTCCATCCCCCAGGAGCAAACTGCTCCAGCACAGGTCCCCCACGGGTGGGTGGCAGCCCTCCCCAGCCCCCCTGCTCCTGTGGGGGCTCTCCATGGGCCGCAGCCTCCTCCAGGACACGTCCACCTGCTCCACCGTGTGTTTGGAGCTGTCTGGAGCCGGCTCTGATCTAACATGGGGCAGCTGCTGGGCTCTGCTCACAGAGGCCACCCCTGCAGCCCCCCTGCTACCAAAACCTATCAGGTAAACCTGATGGGTAAGTAATGTTACAAAGAATGTTTGTTTGTTTATTTTTAATCACTGGTAGTCTCTTATAGTCCTGTGGGTCTTTTCCCCCAGTATGCATCGAAGGTAATTTCTGTCTGTTGCTCTCTCAAAACTCTCAAATGACAGAAACTTTTCAAACTTGTTCTTGTGAATGATTCATTCAAGGGTTTGTTCGCCAGCAAGCAAATGGAGACCTTTTATTAGGAGGACTTGTGGCCTACTCGAGTGTCTTTCTCTCCTCTAGCACCTGTTTGACACGAAGTTCCAAGGAGATAATTTCTTACAACTGAAAAGTAAAACCATGACAAACCTGAGTGTACCATGTCAGTTTTCTCTTAACAAATGAGCCTGCATCACTGTATTTTCTTTCTTGCTAGATCAGTAGTGACAAGAAACCATGCAGTACAAGAGGCTGACATCATGGCATGGTAAATAAATCAGCCAGACCTTCAGGAAAGTGAGGAGTTTTACTTTGCTACAGAGGAGAAAGATTTAAACTCATCAGTGATCTGTCATTTCGGAGTGTAATATGGCTATCGGAGTGCCTTTTCAGGATAAGCAAATTTGCTGGATCACGCAGTATCTCTGTACATAACATTGTCTGTGTCATTAAAGGAACCAGTGATGGAAAAGAAAGCAGCAGCTGATACTAATTCAGTATGGGAAAGTTTTGGACTCAGAAACATTTACTTTTGCTGAGATGCTGTAAGATTTAAAGCTGAAATTTGGATCAAACATGTACACGTAAGTTGAGGTGTGTAGCCATCACTCTCTGACACCCATGTTTGCTCAGAGAACCAAAGCTGCATTGACTTTGTTGCCCAAGGGTTTGATTCAGTTGCCTAAAGGCAGACATCTATGCCTTGTGAGTCATGTAGGATAGCTGAAGGAGCACCATGAGGCTGGTGTATATGACACACAGCCTATAGGAAACTTGTGTCCTCAGCTAGGAGCTGGAGGCAAGGCGGGATGCCCAAGCTCACCTGCACTACATGCTTTTGTTTAGGCAATTATGTTTAACTTAGAACACCACTGATAAGATGCCTTGGTTACATGCAAGTACCTAAGTGTGACACCTTTCTGAATTTTGGGCTCAGTCCAGTCCACAGCTTCTGGATTACAGAACCATACTGCAATGAAGATTGCCTCTTTTTAGTCTAAATTCCCAAGTTTTAATTACGTGTGTCAGCGTGATATCTGAGGTGAAATAAAAATGGAGAAACACTACAGGGAAGAAGATATTTTATTGAATGTGACTTTCGAGTTATTTTTGGGTACTGTTTGTAACCAGGGACTGCTAGGTGAGTGGAGAGAGTGGTATTTTAGTTGGTAGATCTTGCCAACCTGTCACAGAGGTGTGAGATTGGCACCTGAGCAGTACACACACCACCCAGCCCAGGGACGAAAAGCAAGAAGTGACAGGTGCAAAGAGACAACAGCAAGTCTCGTTAGGGAAGAAAACATTTCTGCTTCCAGGATTGTGGTTGTGTGTGCTGTAGTAGCAGTTTCTCTAATGACTTCTCAGTGCAGTGCCAGTGTTAGGAGCTGATCTAACAGAAGAATTTGCAGAATGCCTAAGACATTGTGTTCAAAGCACTTCAGCTTTGAAACATTAGATCTGCAGATGCAAAGCAGCTAGGCAGACAGGCACACATTTCCTCCTGTGAGGAAGGGGAGAGGGCAGGGGCAATAGGGGCTGTGAAAAGAAAATGACATTGCCTTGGTTTTTGTCTTGGGCAGAAAATTTCCTGAATGAGTGTATTAACAAAAAAAGTTGTCCCAACATTTATTCTCTTAATTAATGACTTACAGCTTCCCTGAAGCATCAGGCATTTATGAAAGTATGTGTTCACGTTTATGCCTGTTTCTTCTGTAAAAGGAAAAAACAACAGCATTAAGTAACCATTGTTTATTAATACAAGACTAAAAGTATTCACAAATACTTGGTCACGCCAGTCAAGATGCACTTTTCTGTGATAGCTTGTCTGGACTAAATGTACACCATAAACAGTTTAGCATAGTTGTCTTATTTAAGTTTTTACAATGCATTATTTCACTGAACTAGCCACAGCAATAGAAGGCAATAAACATGTTATTTTCCACATTTTAAAATGGAAAAGATCGCATCCATAATACTGAGCAGTATCACATGATAAATCTCTAAGCTAGCACACCTGTATACTGCTAAATTGGTGTTATTGTAATGAAAAACACAACACGACTGACGTTACTTGGAGCCATAGCTTCTAGTTGTTGTTGAGGACCCACCACGATGCTGAAAGAGAGAATAATTCATTTATTTGTTTCCATAAGCAGTATTTCTTTTTCTACCTCAAGTAAAAATCCTAAATAAAGTAGCTATAATGTATATGTCACTGTTGGTTAAAGAAATGCTCATTATATATGCAACTCTATGATAGCTGTATACTTAAGAACAAAACTTCTCCATACAGAGGAAGAGTAGATTGGCCTGAAGCAACTTCATCAATTAACAGGCGTGCAGGTGATTATACTAGGTCATGGTTCCTATTAACTGACAGTAAATAAATTTGCTTTAGGATCTAACAGTCCTGAAAGCACACGTCTTCCTGAGTCATTCTTAGCCAGGTAAGCATTCATTAGGATTAATCAGAGGAGTACAGACTCGGGTTGTAGCTTTTGTTGAGTCAGATTTGAATTGTCATGTAGAACTGAGTCAGTTCTTACTTACCAAGATGCATGAAAAGGTGTGTTGCATCTGAGCTACAGCAAATCTGTTCGGAGAATAGAGCCTATCTATGTACTCATTGAACACGGTTGTTTTGTTTTTTTCTTCCTGATTTTACAATGATACCAGTTTACTGTGTCTAAAACTCTTCCATAAAACCCACCTGTAGCATTGCAGCCAGTATTTGTTGCTTCACAAGCACATGCTGACTGTCACATACAAATATGATTTGTATATCTTATGTATGGAAAATACTTCCCCCCCCCAGAAAAACCCCACACCACCACCACCACCAAACAAACAAGCAAAAATATCCGATAGATATCCACAGAGACTTCTACATTATCTATAATCTACAAAGCTGTGAAAACAGCTGCGAGCACATCACTCTGCGCTGCGCCACCCCATAAGGAGCCAAGGTTGGGAAATGGCGTTTCTATGGCAACTGGCAGGATGCAAAGCTGGGGACCGAAATCCTTCTTAGCAGGCAGGGGGCATGCTCTTTTGAATTCAATTTCAGACACCCCTGTATTTAGTCATTTATAAATGATGCATACATTT